ATTTACATTTATTTTGTAGGCCCAAGATAGCAGCCCACCAACTAACCTACCCAAAACCCAACAAATATATAAGTCTAGCCCACTCAGCAGGCCCAGTGAATCTTGATGAAGGAGGGACCTTCATTGGTTGATTTTTCACAGTATTTGCAGTCCGGGTTTGAGATACAACTAACAAATTGAGACGTAAAAGTACAACAATTGCAAAAAAAATAAAACACCCACAAGAAACAAGAACAATATTTTGGGAACTTGTATTAAGGTAAGGTTTTCAAAGAGTAAACATCTCAAAATAATTATTTTTCAGGAAAAGAGTGCCTTCCATGGGCTGGTCATTGTCGGTCAAATCATAGAGTGGCACAAACATTTCTTCATCTTCTTGTTGCTGGAAAAAAAAAGAGTAATCAAGAAAATTTCAACAATAACTAAATCAGAAATAGCCCAATCCATTAAAAAATTTGAAGTTAAAGGAAATAAACCTTAAAGAAATTCCAAATGCATAAAATTAGTCAAAAGGAAAGCAATTGAAAAGAAAAGAGAAAAATAGAAAGAGAGTAAACCCATGGGTGAAGAGGTTATTGACAGTCATGGTTGCAGAATTGAGAGGTAAACTGGGAAGATGTGAAAATAAGAGGGAATATTTTTTTTAGAGGGATTCTAATTGTATGGGGTGATTTTTGATTACTTTGAGGTGAGGCTATAATAGAATTTTGTACTGTTACAACACATGCATGTGTAAATATAAAATTGTACCATTATAACACTTGCATATGTAAATATTAAATGGTACCGTTAAAACACATGCACCTTTGCACGTGTAGATATAAAACTGATCTTTTTTCGGGCAAAATAAATTCTTTGAAGCATCCAAATTCTCCGCTTACTTAGCTTAAAAGTTTAAAATTGATACCATTTCGACTCTATCTCGTTCATCAGTATAACCTCAACGGGCATGGTAGGTTGAATTTTGATTTGTTCTCCGCTTCTCGATGTGAGAGAAAGAAGCTTGGTTCAATGAGATTTTGTTGATCTTTTTTTTTTAGTGTGGAGCATACTAGAAATTTCAGGTAGTTTTACTTTTAGAAAAGTAAAACATTGATGGTTAATTAATCTTTAATAAACTATAAAAAATTGATTAATTTAAAAATAACAAAAATAATTAAAGGCATAATTAAAGGTTGATAAATATTGTAGACACCCATTTTTGTTCGGGTTCTCGTTATGTATTATTATTATTATTATTTTATTATTAAGAATTTACATTTATTTTGTACGCCCAAGATAGCATCCCACCAGCTAACCTACCTGAAGCCCAACAAATACACATGCCTAGCCGATTCAGCGGATCCAGTGAATCTTTATGAAGAAGGAACCTTCACTGGTTGATTTTTCACAGTATATGCAGTCCGAGTTTGAGATACAACTAACAAATTGAGACGTAAAATTACAACAATTGCAAAAAAAAAAAATCAAACACCCACAAGAAACAAGAACAATATTTTGGGAACTTACATTGATGTAAGGTATTCAAAGAGTAAACGTCTCAAAATAATTATTTTTCAGGATAAGAGTATCTTTCATGGGCTGGTCATTGTCGGTCAAATCATAGAGTGGCACAAGCATTTCCTCATCTTCTTGTTGTTGGAAAAAAGAGTAATCAAGAAAATTACAACAATAACTAAATAAGAAGCAGTCAAATCCATAAAAAATAAAAATTAAAGATAAAGGAAAGAAACCTTAAAGAAATTCCAAATGCATAAATTAGTCAAAAGGAAAGCAATTTAAAAGAAAAGAGAAAGATAGAAAGAGACTACATCCATGGGTGAAAGGGGTATTGACACTCATTGTTGCAGAATTGAGAGGCAAACTGGGAAGTTGTGAAAATAAGAGGGAAGATTTCTTTTGCTTGTTTTAGAGGGATTCTAATTGTATGGGGTGATTTTATACTACTCTTAGGAGAGGTTGTCAGAGATTTTAATTTTGTACCGTTATGTGTAAATATAAAATTGTACCGTTATAACACTTGCACCGTTGCACGTGTATATATAAAATTGATCTTTTTAAGGGGGAAAAGATTTCTTTGAAGCATCCAAATGTTGCGTTTACTTAGCTTAGAAGTTTAAAATCGATACCCATTTCGACTCTACCTCGTCCATCAGTGTAACCTCAACGGGCATGGTAGGTTGATTTTTTATTTGTTCTTCGCTTCTCGATGGGAGAGAAATAAGCTTGGTTCAATGAGATTTTGTTGATCTATTTTGTTTTTTTTTTTGGAGTGTGGATCATACTAGAAATTTAGGTAGTTTTACTTTAAGAAAAGAAAAACATTGATGATTAATTAATCGTTAATTAACTATAAAAAATGATTAATTTTAAAAAAATAACAAAAATAATTAAAAGCATAATTAAAAGTTGATAAATATTATAGACACTCGTTTTTGTTCGGGTTCTCGTTATTTTTTTTTATTATTATTATTAACAATTTACATTTATTTTGTAGGCGCAAGTTAACAATCTACCAGGTAACCTACTCGAAGCCCATCAAATACACAAGCCTAGCCCACTCAGCAGACCCAGTGAATCTTTATGAAGGAGGAACCTTCACCGGTTGATTTTTCACAGTATTTGCAATCCGAGTTTGAGATACAACTAACAAATTGAGGCGTAAAATTACAACAATTGCTAAAAATCAAACACCCACAAGAAACAAGAACAATATTTTGGGAACTTGCATTAACGTAAGGTATTCAAAGAGTAAATGTCTCAAAATAATTATTTTCCAGGAAAGGAGTACCTTCTATAGGCTGGTCATTGTCGGTCAAATCATAGAGTGACACAAGTATTTCCTCATTTTCTTGTTGTAGAAAAAAACAGTAATCAAGAAAATTTCAACAATAACTAAATCAGAAACAGTCCTATCCATAAAAAATAAAAATTGAAGATAAAGGAAAGAAACCTTTAAGAAATTCCAAATGCATAAAATTAGTCAAAAGGAAAGCAATAGAAAAGAAAAGAGAAAGATAGAAATAGACTACATCCATGGGTGAAGGGGGTATTGACAGTCATTGTTGCGGAATTGAGAGGTAAACTAGGAACTTGTGAAAATAAGAGGGAAGATTTCTTTTTCTTGTTTTGGAGGGATTCTAATTGTATAGGGGTGATTTTATACTACTCTGAGGAGAGGCTGTCAGAGATTTTAATTTTGTACCGTTATAATATAAAATTGTACTATTATAACACTTGCATGCTTAAATATAAAATTGTACCGTTATAACACTTACACCGTTGCACGTGTAGATATAAAATTGATCTTTTTTAAGGGGGGAAATAAATTCTTTGAAGCATCCAAATGCTCCGTTTACTTAGCTTAGAAGTTTAAAATCGATACCCATTTCGACTCTATCTTGTTCATCAGTAACCTCAACGGGCATGGTAGGTTGATTTTTTATTTGTTCTTCACTTCTCGATGGGAGAGAAAGAAGTTTGGTTCAATGAGATTTTGTTGATCTATTTTGTTTTTTTTTTGGATTGTGGATCATACTAGGAATTTTAGGTACTTTTACTTTAAGAAAAGAAAAAACATTGATGGTTAATTAATCGTTAATTAATTATAAAAAATGATTAATTTAAAAAAAATAACAAAAATAATGAAAGGCATAATTAAAAGTTAATAAATATTGTAGACACTTGTTTTTGTTCGGGTTCTAGTTATTTATTATTATTATTATTAACAATTTACATTTATTTTGTAGGCCCAAGATAGCAACCCACCAGCTAACCTACCCAAAGCCCAACAAATACACAAGTCTAGCCCACTCAGCAGGCCCAGTGAATCTTTATGAAGGAGGAACCTTCATTGGTTGATTTTTCACAGTATTTGCATTCCGGGTTTGAGATACAACTAACAAATTGAGACATAAAATTACAACAATTGCAAAAAAATCAAACAACCACAAGAAACAATAACAATATTTTGAGAACTTGCATTAAGGTAAGGTATTCAAAGAGTAAACGTCTCAAAATAATTATTTTCCAGGAAAAGAGTGCCTTCCATGGGCTGGTCATTGTCGGTCAAATCATAGAGTGGCACAAACATTTCTTCATCTTCTTGTTGCTGGAAAAAGAAAAGAGTAATCAAGAAAATTTCAACAATAACTAAATCAGAAGTAGCCCAATCCATAAAAAAATAAAAATTGAAGATAAAAGAAAAAAACCTTAAAGAAATTCCAAATACATAAAATTAGTCAAAAGGAAAGCAAATGAAAAGAAAAGAGAAAAATAGAAAGAGAGTACACCCATGGGTGAATATTGACAGTCATTGCTGCGAAATTGAGAGGTAAACTGGAAAGATGTGAAAATAAGAGGTAAATTGCAAAGGTGAAACTTGTATGGGTAATTATCATGTTAGATTATAAAAGCCCTACACTGAAGTTATTCCTGATAAGAGAGAATTTAATCAAATTTATATATCGTGGTTAATCAAATGAAATCTTAATGCATTGTGATCGTGCTGCACACACATACTGCTTCTATGGAATGATCTGCTTTTTTCCTTCCTTTTTAATAAAATTTATTTATTTATTTATTTATTTATTATTTCTCATGTCTATTTATTTATTTTTTTTATGAATATTCTTTTATAATTATAGGAACTAAATCTAAAAAAGGATAGTACAAGGACTTTTCAATAGAATTTTCCCTATTCCAAAGATAGTATTGGTTGAACCCTTGCAAAACCTAGGAAAATTCAAAGACATTCATAAGTTTTCCAAAGAACCGCCTGTTTTCTTGTCTTACCATTCGGAAAAGCAATGTTTTATCAATGGGGATTTACAGGTCACTGCAAACCCTAATTACCAAAAACCCTAACAAAGCCCGAACCTTTTTGACCGCCGCATCGGCGAATTCAAGTACAACAACTTTTCAGTTGTTAATTAATTTTTGCAGTTATTAATTCACTGAGTTAATTGTAGGATGATGTAAATGAAATGTACGGTCTTACGTTTATGGGATTAGCCATCTCTGGTGCACCTGATTGGGTATGGATTCTCTGGATTTTTTCATCTGTCATTGGAAACTAAGTCATTTTTCTTCATTTTTGTAAAATATAATGAAAAATTTAAAGCCTTTTTTTTTAAAAAAAAATAATTTCTATCGTTCCCTCCCCCCAGTTGGATGGATATGTAGCTAGAAAGATGAAGATCAATTCAGTAGTGGGTTCTTATCTTGATCCTCTAGCTGACAAGGTAAATGACTAATGCCACTTTACTTCTTTATAGGTTCTTGTGACTTTGCTTGTGAGTTTCATTTTACAAGTTGTTTATCTTGATCTTGTTGGTATAGGTTCTTATCGGATGTGTTGCTTTGTCGATGATACATGGCGATCTTTTGCACCGTAAGTTTAATCCGCATTTGTTTAGATCATCTTCAATTCTCTGGTTATTGGTAGTAGGTGTAGTTGTGATATTGAGGACTTGCATGTTTTAATCCATACTGTCTTACTCTCCTTACATTCATAAACAATTGTGCCATCTTACAAATACATGAGCTTTCCTCTGTTGAATGCTGAAAATTTTCGTTGTCGGACTAAATGTTTAAGATTTTTTTACTAGTTTCCCGTAGCTTATCGCCTCTGTGTAACAAGGATAATTTGGAATTATCATACTAGATGCTTATAGTTCTAGATTATATCAGCAGTTTTTTTTTCTAGTATCGTGATTTCCATTTCATCTACCTTTAATATAGGGGTTGCGAATGTTTAGTGTTGTAGTTATCCGTGTATGTTATTTGATATTTAAATTTTTACACGCATAAAAGTACTATGTTATCTGCAAATATTTGGTGATGCCTATCTTATTAGTTTTCTTTTCTGTAAAGCTGGACTTGTCGGACTTAAGGTAAACTGACCATTTTCTGATTAGATAATAAATAAATCAGAGGTCGCAAAAGCTTATATTTCATGACATGTCAACAGTTGGTTAGTGGCTGCAACAACGGTAGGTTCTACATGTGCATACGGAGCACAACACATGATGAAGAGAACAGGTTCAATGACGGAGAAAACCTTAGGTTGAATTCTTTGTTCAATTCCTTCTTCCTTCGGTTCTGGAAGCAGCCAACGTGTGCGCATACATAGAGCCGTAGATGGTAAGAAAGGAATAGTTCATGAGCCAAGGGAACTTAGTGGTTGTTTGTAAATGGCCAGCACCGTTTTGTAATAAAAGCGACAGAAACAATTAACGAATACAGTGTACCACAAAAGTATTGCTTTTAGAGTAACTTGAAACTGAAACTTGTAAAGTTTTGTTATTGATGTTTAAGCTCTGTTTCAAGAGATAATTCCAAGTTTTCAATGTGGATGATTTGCATTATGCCATGTTTCGGTTCAAACTAAATTAAAATTGACGGTTCAAAAAATCCCGGCAAAAGAGAACCGCTCCTTTGGTTTATCATGCTTGGATTTAGACATGCTACAACACCCTTAATATTGGATGATCTTTAAGTTAAAACTAAATGAGAATAACTCAAAACAATCATTTTCAAACATAAAAACACATCATGAAGCTTAAACCTGTTCTCTCAAGTGATAGCTGAATAAATGCATGTCAAAATGTGATTATTTAAGCTAAACCCTCTGTCTTTGAACATGCCTTGATTTCCCCCCTAGAATGAATATCAATGAGGTGCACCATTCATCCAAATCCGGATAACATAGGTGATAGGCCTAAAACTGTCGAGTGCAACAATCAAATGGTTGTCAATATGGTTACTGGGAAGCAACAAGCAAGCCTACTGCTCTAATGCCTTGTGGCCATACTCTTCCCTAGAAAGAAACAGATTTAGGGTTTTCATTTGGTTCATGTGGTCACTCACCTTGAAACTAAGCAATTTTTTTATCCACCAAAACAATATGATAGATCCGAGTTCTGCAAGGAAAAGGAAAAATATTAATTTTGTGATTGTTTTTTAAAAAAGGGTAGGATAACAGGGACTTGAACCTGTCGTGAATCAAACGCGCAACCTTCTGATCTGGAGTCAGATGCGCTACCATTGCAGCACGGATCCCTGTCTTTAATTTTTTTTTTTTGATTTTTTTGGGGGTTGTTTCAGTTGTGTAAACAAATGGCAAGTTGAAACACCCAATCAAAACCTTTCCAAATGCATTTTTTTTTATCAAAATCTATACCTTAAATGAGATTTAAATTTTTATTTACACAATTAATAGTTTCATCCAAATTTTTACTAATATACTCGTATACTTGTATCAACTTTAAAAACAAATCATTAGAATTCATTACTTATAATAATAAAAAAAATGATATAAAATATTAATTAAATTAAAAATTATATAATTTTTAAAATAAAATAATAAGATGTTCTAATTTTTTATTTTAAAATTATAATTATAATTAATTATTATATTCACATATTATAAAATAATTAATTTAACTCGAAAATCAAAATACATCACTAATATTAATTTATATATTAAATTCTTCAAATTTAAGCATACAATCATTTGTTTATTACAATATTACTCTAATTTTGTGTTGAAATGTTTTGAAAACAATGGTTTGAGAATAATAGGAATATGTCTCGACTCTCGAGGAAGGAATAATCAATGGTGACGATAAATCAGATGAAAGGAATACCAAAAATCCTAAAAAGAATCCTCTTGGCTAAATAGTTCTTAAAATTATTAAAATGCTACATAGACATATTGGAGAAGATTCTAGTAAGAATCATGTTTCATTGAGGATTATGAATTACTAAATTCATTGAGACGACTTTCAATAAAATAACTATTTGCGACCAATAGAATAAGAAGACCAGGTGTAGATATGAATGTTTTATCCTTCCCTTTATTAAAGAAAAAGAAAAGAAAAGGATGTTTCATTGGTTTCAAATAACATAAAAAATCAGAAAATAAAATTTAATAATGAAAGAAAGCTATGTATCCATCTACAGAACCAAATCACGGTAGCACTCAATTGCTAAATCAGAAGCAATAAAAATGACAAAAAGATTTGACAGTAGCTATATGTCCTTGTAAACATGCTAACATGCAAAAGCATGTAAAAGCTAACTAAAATATTTCCAAGACTATAAAGGCAAACGCAGTATCTTTAGTAGATGAATTTTTTCAATTTCGGATGAAATCAATAAAGGGCTAATAAAGCCATTAAGGTGAAAAGGAGGCACACTCATTAATCAACCCAACAGGTGAAACTTCTATAAGTAGTTTCCTTGTATTTAGTTTTTTATAGCAATCCCCTGCATCTTTATGTGCAATAGAAGCATATTGAAACTAATTATGTCCTTGTACATGATTTTTATTGTTCCTTCAAATAGAAAATACAGATCCAATTGTATTTTTACTATCTTCATTCACCAAATGCTTTTTTTAAAGAGTAGGAAAAATAAGATGTTTTCAGATTGGGAAAAAAAAGCCGCCAACTGATACTTTTAAATTTCACCATCTTTTCAATCAAAATGTAAGGCATATTAAGACAATGCAACTTAGGCCAACACTATTAAAATGCTTATTCATCTTTTGCTTTAACATACCCACAATCCTTATCATCTAGCCCCTGAATCTCATGAGCGAAAATCTAACCACCACCCATATTTTATGACTCCAAACAATTCAAGAAACCAGGGTCCAGACATCAGAGTGGACCAAAAGAAGCATGAGTGATCTACCTACCACACAGCAATCATTGCTAGCAAATGTTAGGATGGTCGTCGTATTAAAAGCAGCAATATAACAGAGAAGTCAACTTTCACACTTCTCATCCAATGAAAATGGTAGGGATAAGCTCACTGTCTAGAGAACTGTAAATATAAAGGACGAAGAAATGTACTCGGCGATTATGAAGATATTCCAGAAATGAAGGTACATCTGGATAGTGGTATTATTTAGTACTTTCAACAGGAAGAGACTTTTGAAAGCAAATTATGTCACCATCCACAAGCTGCCGTGAAACGAATAAAACACTTTAAACCAACCAAAACAAACTGCTACAAATTGAAATGTAATGTATACCTGGCTGGCTTGGAAGGTAATTTTCTTATCAATTGGTTCACACATAACACTCGGCTCAAACTCAATTTCCTGGAAACTAAAGCAGAACCATTATGCCACATAAAAATGTCAAAAGTCGAGCAAAAGGTTAGGAAAAATTAATCAGACGACAAACAAAACCATGTCACAGTCAAACCCACAAAACTACTGTAAAACAAGGTACAACTTACACATTAACTTCAATTATCAATATAACCAGTAAAAATGTCTGAAACAACAAAAGGAAAAAAGTGTAAAAACCCATGAGCCGAAGACTTTCCTCCTTAAATGCAAGCATAAGAAAGAAAAATGCGAACAGATAGTGCTAGAAGCTAACCTCAAAAAGATTGATCTCTTCATCAGGAGCATACCCTGTCATTTTGTTTATAATTTGGACAAATTTTTATTGGCTCGCAAGCACTTTTCACAAACAGCACGTAATTATCCAAAAGACAAGGGGTAATAAATAACATGAGACAATGTACCGAAGCTCTTCTTTCTCAGGGTCATATTGCTTGAAGAAAAGTAAAATATCTTCCTTTGTCTTTATATGGTGGAGCTACCGGTCATAAATCCTGAACAATTATGTTAACATCAAGATGTAAATAAAATAAAACCCCAAACATTTATCAAGAGTAAAGACGCAAAACTTAAATAAAAGGTCTGGTATTAACAAGATTCATAAGCAGAACTTGCCTAAAAAATCTAGTAAAAACAGCCAGTTTCAAACCTCACTAACATGCCCTCTCAAGGGAAGATAAGCAATTCTACAATTTATAATTGTGAACCTTAACTCCTCAAGGTCTATCCCTAACTTCTATTTCTTCCTACTAAAACAATAGAACCTTTTGCACTCGAAAACTTTTAGAACCAAATTGGGCCTGTCTGTGGAGATCTATTAATATTAGCTTTGGGTGTTAGAATGAATATCATGAATGAAAATATCATTGGACAACAAGTTCAAGCATCAAAGAAGAAACGTGTTGCTTAAAAAATGCTAAACCAGATTATCAGTCCAAGCTCAACTTCCAGGAACAAGGGAAGCTTATTAGATACCTCCCTCAAGGTTCCAAATACAGATGGTTAAACCCAAAACTATGCAGAATAAGGGCTGAAGAAAAATCTAGAAACAAATACTCCTCAAACAAGACTTTCGAACCATTAATTAATAGTGAGAAACATTACAGATTGTGTTTCCTCCAAAGATGCCAATGGTCAGTTCCGACAGTAGGTATAATTTTGATGTTTGGTCCACAACCAGAATTACACTGGTACACCAAATTCTCTAGCAACTTTTTCTGCACATTGAAACATATCAGGAACAAAATCATAACATGGACAGCCAAACATAACCACAATGTATCATAAAAAAAAGAAAAAGAAGATTGAAATGTAACATCATTAAAAAGGTAGTATCCAAGAGAAAAACAGAAAAATGAGAGTACCAATTTGATAAAGAAACCAATTTTCCGAAAGGCAAATATATATAGCCATAAGCATCAATTAACACAAAGGAAAACAAAATAGTTTTCTGTTTTTTTCGTACCTAAAACACATTGACTTTATCATGGTCCATTAGATCAAAATATATATCCTTGTAAATCTGCTCTGCAAGATCATCATCTCGCGCAACCTAGAACAGTCATATAGCTATAAGAAGTACACTCAACAATGCTAGAATCATTATCTAAATTAATGCCTCAAGCAACAACCTTTATGATACTGTAAAGGTGTTCTCTACCTTATCTTCCCTTTTTTGTTCTTTTTCTTCTTGTTCTTTCCTCCATCTCATCGAACATTTCATATTAGATTCTCAGAAAGGGAACTCAA